ATGGTGTGTGTGTGTGGGTGTGGCAGGGGAGGGTTGGGGATCCATAGGATGGTAAGAAAGGAAGACAGAGGATGGGAGAGGCCACTCTTTCTCTCTTTCATAGAGGCCAGCATTAATCCCCTCCAAGGGTGATGCCCTAATGGCTGAATTACCTTCCACAAGGCCCCACCTCTTAAAATTCTACCACCTCTCAACATGGTAACTTCACAGCAGGAAGGTAAAACTTACAGTACATGAACCTATGGGGGGACAAATCATATCCAAACCAGAGCAGTGAGTACAGGAGAGGAGGTGGAGCAGTGGGAGGAAGTAAAGAAGAGAAAGGTAAAACGAAAGAATAAAATTTAATGTCATTCTACCAAAGCCTAGTAGCCAATGATCTCTACAAACCCAGTTTGTAGATTAAAAAAAAAATTTTTTTTTTTTAAAGTACTGGGAACCCAGGGCCTAACATATTAAGTAAGCAATGACCTACATCCTCAACCCTTTTAAAATGTATTTAATTTTTACTTTTTTTGCGGGACTGGGATTTTTTTTTTTTGGTACCGGGATTGAACTCAGGGGCACTCAGCCACTGAGCCACATCCACAGCCCTATTTTGTATTTCATTTAGAGACAGGGTCTCACTGAGTTGCTTAGCGCCTCGCCATTGCTGAGGCTGGCGTTGAACTCGCTATCCTCTTGTTTCAGCCTCCCTAGCCACTGGGATTACAGGTGTGCGACATGGCACCCGGTGGCACTGGGATTTTAATTCAGGGCCTCTTACRTGGTAGGCAAGTGCTGAACTGTAGAGATACTCCTAGCTATTTTTTTTAACTTTTCATTTTGAGACAGGGTCTTGCTAAGTTGCCTAGGGTGGCCTAGAACTTGTGATCTTACTGTCTCATCCTCTCCAGCAGYTGGAATTACTGCATGCATCACTGTGCCTGGCTTCAGTTTCTATTTTTTCAAATACACCCACTCCAATTAATCCTATTCCRTTTTCCATTTTTTCCATTCCTTTCCAACCATCCACTTATTTTCCTTATTGGTGGTGAAAAAGGAATTTGTTCATGCATTTGTTTGTTCACTCACTCAACAAATATTTAAAAATATCTACAAAGTGCCAAACTGTGTGGGGCACTGGGGAAAGACAGTGATSGAGGTGTAGTCATAGATGCCATAACAAATAGATCTCAGTGGGTTAATACAATAAATGTCTCTTATCTGTTAAGTTTAGAGTTCCATACAGGTATTTTTGGCCCAGCCTATTTCTGAGTGCTCATTCAGAGTCATACTTCTGCTCTAAGTCCACTGGCAAGAACTCGTCACATGGCCCTGGCTAAATGCAAGGGCATCTCTGGAAAACACAATTCCCAGCATGGAGAATGAGCCTTTGGTGATTAGCAAGCTGACTGTCACATGGGGAAAGACAGACAGCTACTGAATAAACAAACAACTTATTATGTTAGAAGGTGTTAAGTGCTTTGGAGAAAAATAAAGCAGGGAAAGAAATATAGAGTCTGTAGAAATATTTTAATTTTAAATAGAATGGTGACAGAGGGGCTCACTGGAGTGAGGAGTTGAAGAAGGCAAAAGTGTGACTTGTGGATCTCAAAAAGGCCATTGTGGCTGGGGATGTGGCTCAAGCGGTAGCGGGCTCGCCTGGCATGCGTGCGGCCCTGGGTTCGATCCTCAGCACCACATACCAACAAAGATGTTGTGTCCGCCAAATACTAAGAAATAAATATTAAAAAAAAATTCTTTCTCTCCCTCTCTCCCTTAAAAAAAAAAAAAGGCCATTGTGGCTGTTGCAGAACACGGGTGACAGAGGATATCAGAGATAGGAGAGGAGGCGGACTATGTAGGACTATGGTTTCTCCGAAAGAGAGAGAGAGAGAGAGAGAAGAGAGAGAAGAGAGAAGAGAGAGAGAGAGAGAGAAGCCTTTGGGACTCTTTAAGTAGTAGAAAACTGAGGTATGGTCATGGGTAATAGCGGGGAGGGAAGCGGGACATGATGGGGTAATTATCTGGTACTGCATGTGTCTATCAGATCAGGAGCAGAATACATCTAAGTTAATGGAGGCTGAATGGCCTGTTTTCCTATATGGCCACCTCTAGTTGYACATGGTCAGAGTGATCTGAAGAGAATGAAGGTCCGTTCACTTCAGGCTTCAGCACTCCTGTCCACCAACATCCGCTTGCCCTGGCAGCAGCTTGGTCATTCACTCAACGGATATTTGCTAAGCATCTCTGGATGTCAGGTCCTGGTCTAGGCATTGAGAGCAATAGGTTAGGGGAGGACTGTGCCCTCAGGGAACTTGTACTCTAGCGGGCAGATAATAAACAGCAAAGACATAGCAAGATACTTTCTAATATGAGGCAGGATCCTGCAGAGTGACCTGCTTTACTTAAGGGATCACAGAGGTCCTCCTTGAGAAGGTACACCTGAAGGATGAAAAGATGATGACAGGCAGGGGATTGGGGGAACAGGATTCTGGCAGTAAGGACATGTGGGGAACTGCAGGGGAAGACAGAAGGTCAGCCTGGCCCATCTTGCAGGCTCTGGGTTTATTCTATGCATGATGGAAAGACTTTGGTAGGTTTAAGGGGAGGAGTCACAAGATCTACTTATATTTCACTAAGGTCACTGGGTTGGCCACAGGCTTAACGGACTAWAAGGGAAGGGGTGGGGTGGGGMGGCAGAGGGAAGAAGCATAGGTAATAGGTAGGGTCTTAGACAAGGATGGGCGGGGACACACACTGAAGGTAGTAAATGGGTCAGGTGATCACTTGAATGGAGCATTTCTTTAGGTCAAGGCCTTTGCAAGCAAAGGAAGATTACCAAAGAAGCATGCTTGAGAGGTCCAGTCCTTGCCCTGATTTTGTTAATGTTTACTTATAAGGTAGCTCAGATCTCATCCTTAAAGGTGCCATGTAAACACAAGACAATCATTAAATCAGTGCATACCAGTGGCTAAATAAGTGAGAACTGGGGTATGGGGGAAAGAGGACTTTGGAGCTGCATTACAGAGGTCTGGGGTGGGAGGGAGCGCTGCCTAGCCCCTCACTAGTGGCTACAGGAGCTTTGAAACTCTTAAAAACTTGGCTCCAGGCTTCAGTTTCTCAACTCATTCTGAGCTTCTCAGGAGCTCAGCGAAGCAGTGACTCAGGGGAGGTCCCTCCTCTGCAAGCCGGTTCTCAGTGGCTGGGAGTGACTCACCTGCTCCCTCCCTCACGAGTGACCCCGGGCCAATCCCTTAATGAGTCCACACCTCMCTCTTCTCCTCTGGCCAAGACAATTGCCCGGTGGAGTTTTTGGCTCCCGGGGGCAGGGCTTGTGTCTGCAACCACACAGGTTCCTAAAGAGACTTCTGGTAAGATCCAGAGGAGGGCAGAACTCTAGGGCCAACCTAAGGTCCTCCCCAAGCACCGAAACAGGAATGCAGTGGGGGCGGGGTTAACGTTGGTACCCGCGATTTCTTCTAATTGCAGAGCCATTCAACAGAATTTTGTACCGAATACTTTGATACCTCGCAGCATTTCTTTGTTTTTCTTTCTTTATTTTTGGTTCTGGGGATAGAATCCAGCGCCTCGAGACATACTAAATACCCACTCTATCACTGAGATACACCCTAGGTCCAAAAGTCTTGGAGAATTTCTTTTGGACACCTTTTTGTATACCAACACTTTCTTGGGAAAATAAAAGGGGGGGGGAAAAACAGCAACCAGAGCAGGTCTCCAAAGTTAGCAAAGCGGACACCGGAGGCTCTAGGAAGAGAATGTGCGTGGATTGAAGAACAAACCTCTGTTTCTGGGGGAACCTAGGCTACTGGATTGATGCCGGGGTCTCTGCGACCCTAACAGGCCAGAGTGGTGAGCCCAGCAGATCGTCCGGGTTTCAGCCGGCTCGGGTTCTACTAGCAGCGCCCCGGGTCGCTGCAGGGCGACTCCGTATCCCCCCCCCCTTCCCCGCCCCCAAGCCACAGCGGCGCCCGCGCTCCACCCCTGGCCCCGCCGCCTGGGTTCGCTGTCCTGTAGGAACCAGGCAGGTGGACCGCTGCGGGAGCACCCTTCTCCTAGACCCTCCCGGGGACCCTCCCCCGGGCCGGGTCGCGCCTCCGCGCCCCGCCCCGCGCCCGCAGTGGGCGACCGAGTTACCTGCGCCGGGAAGTCACAGTCCACAGCCCGGACTCTTAACGGGGAGGGTCCCGCGGAGCCYAAAGCCACATTCCAAGGGGAGGGGTCCCTACCTCTTTAGAGGGTCGCGGATCACATTACCGGCCGAGAGGAGGAGACSGCGAGAGGCAGAGTAAACAGGGGGTAAAAGTTGCATTTAGCTTATTCTTTTTTTTTTTTTTTTCCGGTTTTCCCCCAATCGCGCTTCGACGGCTGGTTGACCCGGGGATCCGGTGTCCGCCCAGTTCCCGCAGCCCGTGGCCCCGGCACGGCTTGCCTGCACGGAGGCCCCTTCCTGCCGCGCGGGTGCGGGAGCGGTGAGCCGGGCTGAGGGCGGCCCTGGTGACCCCCGCGCGGCTGTCCCAGGGGCGGGAAGCGCGGCGGCCGGAGCCCGCGCGGCGCTCGGAGCACCGGGAGCGGGACGCTCACTTGCGTGCGCATAAATCAGTCAGCGAGCGGTCGCCGCCGCCTGCGCCAGGGAATCCTCGGGCTGATTGAATGCAGACGTGGGGTGTCTGCCAGGGCAGGAGGGCGGCGGGGCAGAGGGAACCGGCGTGGAGGCCACGGTGGGGGAAGGGAGGCTAGGACCAGGAGACCAGAGAAAAGCCCAAAGCCACATTTTTAACCAGGGGCTGATTTTGAAATGCAAACTCCCGCGGGCGGGGAGGGGGCCGGGCCGCGGGCGCGGGGCCGACGGGCCACCCGCGGCAACTTTCCGGCGGGAGGTGCGGCCGGAGGGGGCGGCGCCGGCGGCGGGAGGCGGGAGTCGGGGGCCGAGGGGGGGGAGTCACTTTAAAGGCTCTTTCTTACCCATAATGCTTTGTGGGGACGTTGACAAGTGGATCCAAGATGGCGTAGAAAGTAATGACAGGTAAGTCCTGACTTCCCCCTTCTCTGCTGCCGGGGCCGCTCCGCGAGCCGCCCGAGCCTTCTGGGAAGGGACCCTGACTCCCCTCCGGTGCCCCGGGCCCCGGGCGGCGCGGCCCCGGGGCGGGCCGGGGTCCTGGGCGGCCCGCGGCGGGGCCTGGGAAGCGGGGCTCTTCGAGGCGAGGCCCGGACGCTGGGGCTGTTTACAGCTTCTTCCCGTCCTCTGTCCCCTTCCCCTCCGCTGGGGGCCACGGCGCCCGGGGCCCAGGCCGAGGCGGGGCCCTTGCACCCCCGGGCCGGGGGCCTGCGGGCAGCTGCTCCCGCACGGGCCACTCCGGGAGGGGGAGCCGAGCCTTGGTGCACGCTCCGCGCCTCCGGGTCGCCGCGGGGGGTGGGGAGCGTGCGGGCCTCCCACGCCCCGCTCGATTCCGCCCTAGGGGCTCGGGCTTCCACCCGGCCGGGGCGGGGGTCTCGGGMGGGGGGCGTCGGGAAAAGTGGGTCAGGGGTGCGCCCCCTCCCCCGCSGAGGGCTCAGAGCCTAGGGTTCACTTTTGCCCCCTTCCCTGCCCCCTCCTCGGAAATGCTCACTGGCCCACAAGCGCATCAACAAAAATACAAACAGGCTCTCTTCCTGGAGATTCCTCAAGAGTCCCCTTTTCAAGGGCTCTGAAGATTGCAGCGTTTCTGGAACTTTGATTCCTCTCCCCCCAGTTTATTTGAGCTTTCTGCCCCCTGGCCTTTTTGCCTTCGGAGAGGGCTGGAAGCCAGGTCTTCGGATACTTCTTGGATTGGGATCTTTGGGTTTTGTTTGCGACTCAAGAATTGCCATTCTTTTCTCCCTTACAACTTTTCAGGCAAATCATTAATTTGATAAAAAGTATAACTCTGAAGGTAGTGGATTCCTGGAATGGGAGAAGGAGGAAGGCGTTGTCTTGGCTAGTTTGTACTTAATTTTGCCCTCACTTAAACTCATATTAATGAGGTTTCTTCTTTTTAATTCTTTCAAAAAAWTTTTTTGAAACTAAGATCAGTCAGTGCTGACAAAAGATGAACTTTCTTATGTTTTTGATTTTTAGAGCATTTTATAATCTATTCTTTTATCTTKTTTACCAAAAGGAAATGTTTTCATTTTAAGGCAAAAGAAACATTCATTTGCAAAGCTGCAGACTGTACCATTTTTGTAACTTTGCATTTGAAATTTAGATGCCCTTTCACTTCAGACTGATAAAATGTTTGCCACTGATAATGTCCATTACTGGTATTGTATAGACACATTTTACTTTTCTATTTGCCTCAGGAATTGGATGAAGTGATTGATCACTAATGAACTACAGTGCTGGTGAGATGTGTAAGGTGAGACCACACAGTTAAACATGATTTCACTTGTTTCCTTCTATATTTTAATCAACTTATAAGAGTAAGGCTGAAACTAAGTAATTTGATGGGACCATCTTTATTTTCCAAATATGTCACTCAGTCAAATGGGGTATGAGCAGGGCTAGATTTAGAAAGGAAAAATGTGTCAAATATACCAATCTTTTTCAGGACTCCAACATACTCAAACATAGTAGAGTTTATCCAGAGCCAAATGTTATTTGCAGCTATCCTTGATCAGTGTCTTCTCCAGGGGTAATTATAGTTTGCCTCTTCAAATTTCTTTGTGTAACTTTAATTGGATGTCTTAATTTTGCTTGTTTTGATGTCCATTGCTTACTGTACATTGAGTGTAAGTGATTATGTATAAGGGACTTGTGTTTCCACAGTTTGTGGGACTTTTGTAAAGTATACCCATTCCATTGGAAATGATTATTTTAGGCAAGCCAGTCACTTATTTTATTTTCTTGTGGTATTGGGGATGGAACCCACGGCCTCATACATGGTATTCAGGTGCTCTATCATTAAACTATATCCCCAAGCCCTTGGTTTTAATTTCTGAAAAATGGAATAGTACTTGTCCCTAATAATTATTTAATAATTATTTTGAAATGAAAATGATATGAAAGTGAATCCCACCCAACTTATTAGGGATAAGACTAGTTATTATTTTCTGGTCATATATGGTGTATGAATTTGTAATATTTTATTTATTTTAACTTATCATGCTTTGAAATTAAAGGACATTAATATAGCATGAGTGAACAGCTTACATTCAGTGCTATGGAGAGGGAGAGTTTACATTTTTCACAATCAGTTTTCTCACCTTGAGAAATATCTTATTATATTTGGTTCAGAAAAATGTAAGTAATTTTGGTTAATTAATTGGTTATTGCAGGGCTTTGTCCCATCCATTAACACATCTGGGCCTCTGGACCTTGAAAGCCTCTCATAAACTTTTCATACCTATTATAACATCTATTGAAGAAGAATAGGCTGTTTTATTTCATTTTTCTAGATTGAGATGTATAATTGACATTTTGCCTTACACATACGTGTGCACCCACCCACGCAACCTTGGGAAAGAAAGGTGGACACAGACCAAGATTGTTTTGTAAGTGCACATGCCACATTAACTTGGGTTTGAAACTCAGCAGTGCTTATGTGTATTACATATAATTTTAATTCTTATTCTTGGCAGAGCAAATGTAGATTTTTGAATTTATTTTCAATTTRCAGGTAGAAGCATATTCATACCTTAGACTTCCCAGTTTGAACTTTTCATCTCATTTTTTTGAAACTTACAGATTATTATGGAAAGGAACCAATGATCTGCCTTTTGCCTATAGAGATGTTCCTTTGTAGTCTGAAGCTGAATATTTAGTATTTGGTAATCTTGTATGGCTAATGTTGAACTGTATCAGGATATTTCCATAGCCTTCACACATGAAGACTGGTGGGGTATTCACTTCAAAGTGAAGCTAATGTTTGGCCACCAAACAACTTGTTACACGGAGTATTCTAAAGTGGGAAATACCATAGTATTGAAGGTTATGGTGGAGTACAAGTCTGTGTCTTTGAGCTGAATAAAGACATATCTTTTTTAGTCTGTCCTTTTGGCTGGTAAGCTAGGACACTATTTTTAGGTAAGGCTGTATTTTTTGAGAGTCAGTAAGTACAGTCCTGAACTCCTTCATCAGCTGGCAAACTTTAATTTAGCAATTATTAGCAAGAAATTTCATTTTCTATTAGCATAAATATTCAGTTTATCTGGTCTTAATATCTGTATACATTCATGAACTGTCTAGTTTTTATTGGCGAGGGAATGATACCAAAACAACAGGAGAAATCATTTCTCCTTGCAAAGGGCCTTGTGTAATTTAAAAATTTACAGAATATTCATGAAAGGCTAAGAATAGTGCAGAGGGACCCACAAGTAAGTAGACCAGATCTTATAAATGCATCGGTGTTCTCTGTTTAAGAAATAGGGTTGGCATTAGTATTGAATGCAGATTAGTCCATGATTGTCCATCAGACTATATTTAAGATCCAAATACAGGCTCAGTATAAGAAATAAGGTCCTTTGCCTGTTCCAAAAATATAGAAAAAATTGGGCCAAGTTTTTCAACAAAAATTCCTCTAGAGTGGGAAGAACTGCTAATAGCAAATTATTAGGATTGCTTATTTTCATAAACTTAGGTAAATGTATTTGCAAGTGTAATTAGATTTCTAAGTAATATTTTGAAATATTTTCTAGAAATCTCATGGATGGAGAGTATGGCCAGATTAGCTTATGATTCATTTCAATTCATTTCAATTCATTTCAATTCAGGGTTACTTCTGTGGCATTGACTACAAGAAGCACAAAACATGATTGCCTTATCACTTCCAGGGTGGCTGGGACAATGTTTTAAGTCATCCTGAACCTAATAGAGTTAATATTCCTCTTTTTTTTTTTTTTTAAAGAGAGAGAGAATTTTTTAATATTTATTTTTTAGTTTTCTGTGGACACAACATTATTTTATTTTTATGTGCTGCTGAGGATCGAACCCAGCGCCCCGTGCATGCCAGGCGAGCACGCTACCGCTTGAGCCACATCCCCAGCCTCAATATTCCTCTTGTTAAGACTATTATAATATGAAGACTTTGTATATTTATGTAAATGCTTGTATATGTATAATATATATAAACACATATGTATCATATGATTATTTTATTAAGCTTTTAATTATATAAAAGAAATCCAGAGTTTTCCAACCTAAAACCAACAGTCATACCAACTTTTTTTTTACTTTTGTAAATTGTATTGGGTCCATTTCTCTAAGAGCAGGAAATTGATAAAACAAAGTTTTTACAGAAGAAAGCAAACAGGCAAATTCAGATGTGCCAGAAATACTTAAAATATAGCACAGAAATAAAAATCACAAATATTCATGCTTCGGAATGGGTTGGTCAAAAAATATGCCATGCATTCTTTGAAGTATCTGATGATTAATAGTTTTTTTAATCCAAAGCAAAATGAATATATAAACTTTATGATTTTTATTTCTGTGCTGTATTTTAGGTGTTTATGGCACATCTGAATTTTTCTATTTGCTTTGTTTTGTGGGCTGGGGCTGTGGCTCAGTGGCAGAGTACTTGCCTAGTGTGCGTGAGGCACTGGGTTTGATCCTTAGCACCATAAAAAAAAAAAGAAAGCTAGTAAAATAAAGGCATGCTGTCCATTTATAACTACAAAAAATTGAAATAAAAAATTTCTTGTTATGGTAGAAATATTCATGTCAGTAGGCAATATGTGTAACTAATGTAGTAATTTTTTTTTTTGGTGGTGGTGGTGATCAAACTCAGGGCCTTGAATTGCAACCCCAGCTCTTAAAAATTATGTTTATGCTAAAATCATGCATGTGCCAGGTGTGAGGCTGAGAAAGGGGGATTGCAAGTTGGAGGCCAGMGTCAGCAACTYAGTGAGACCTKGCCTCAAAATAAAAAATAAGAAGAACTGGAAATATATGTAGCTCAGTGATAAAGGGCTCTATGAGTTCAATCTCTAGTACCAAAAGGGGGGAAAAACAAAAACAAAAACAACCAACCAAAAACTCCATGTATGCAATGGTAAAAGAAGTTGAGTGTACCTAATTATGTAAAGTAAAAAAGGCACTCTCACAAACAAAGTCCTTTGCTATTTGCCCTCTTCTAATTCTGCTACCTTGTGCTAACTATGGTAAARAGCTGGGGTGTCATTTAGCTTTTGGAAGACCTCTCTGCTGAATATCTGGATGTATATTGTAGTAGTAAATGTAAAGTGAGAAGTTTGTAGAGATGTGGTCATTGAACTAAGAGTTGGATGCTTTGCAGGGACTATTCTGTTCTTCTTTACTGTGATGTTAAGTTGTAATGATAATTAAACTGTCAGTTTAAGATAACTATAATTGAATTACTAAACACTCAGACAATTAACTTTGTGGTCAGACTGGTAAAGTTTTGATTTGTTGATCTTCTAAAGAAATATTTGTGAGTTAAGTCTATGTAATCTTGGGGAGGGTGGGTACTGGTGGTAATGAGTTACCATCTGTTGAATTTTGTGATAAGCTGTCCAGTATATTTACTATGTTCTTTTTATAACTCATTATCTCCTTTAATTCTAGTAACAACTGACAAGACAGTTGTTATTTACAGTTTGCAAAGGAGGAAATTTAGATTTAGATGAGAGCAAACTAATGTAACATCATAAGACCAATAAAGTAGTGGAGGTGGTGCTCCTTCTGGAAAGGCTGTGTTCTGCTGTCTTTGAGTAGTCTTTCTTATTTTCCAGAATCCAAGGAAATGTAGACCTGGAGAAATTGACTTGCCCAAGGTTATGCAGTTCAGTAGTAGCWAGGTTAAAGTAAGCTTTTATTTCCAGAAGCTTATCTTAGGACTTCTGGTCCACGGCTGGTTATGCTACATTTGATTGGCTTACTGTAGACCCAGAGAACAGGTGCTGTGAATAGTGGACAGTAATGTTTCAGAACTGATAGAGCAGCTAGTGTTGTTTTGTACCAAATAATTAAAAGCTTCCTTCTCTCTCTTTCAGAAATTATAAAGAGCTCTGATGGGCTATTTGGGTGATACCCAGTGCAGTGAACTGCAGGTGAGTAAGGTTTAGGAGAACATTCTTTAGACAAAAAAAGAAAAACCATGATAATGCCTGAAAAAGAGCAAGAGGGACTTTATCTTGTACAGAATGTCTGACCAGCTGGGCGGTGTGTAGACAGTAATCCCAGCCTACTTCCGAGGCTGTGGCAGGAGGATCACAAATTCAAGGCCAACCTCAGCAACTTAGTAAGACCCTGTCTCAAAACAAAAAATAAAAAGGACTGGGGATGTAGTGCCCCTGCATTCCATTCCCAAAMAATAAGGGAAAAAAAAGTGGTCAAAAATGATGAGGTGGGCTGGGGATGTGGCTCAAGCGGTAACGTGCTTGCCTGGCATGCGAGAGGCACTGGGTTCAATCCTCAGCACCACATAAAAATAAAATAAAGATATTGTATCCACCTAAAACTAAATAAAAAAATAAAACATTAAAAAAAAATGATGAGGTGGAGCCGGGTGGAATGATACAGGGCTTAGTGAAGCTGTTATAACCTGGGATGTGGACCTAACTGACTGGATGATGAAYAAGCCTTGAAGACTCTGCCTGCTGCTTTGTCAGACTAGTTGGAAGAGAAGTTCCAGTAGGTTAATCTTCCACTTCTGTTCTGAATGAGTAACTGCACTGGGGCTCAATCTGTCTGCATGTGATTGGAACTAGAAAGGTCCTTTAGCTTTTGTGTCAACATTCTTGAGTGCTAATCACTCTGTGCTCTGATGAACTTGGTTAAGTGTTTAATTGTTTTTCTTGTTATCTGCCATGAGCCTTGGGTCCTGAATGACTATATGTGCACATTTTTGAGAATCTAAACACTGAGAATATATCACTAGAAACTAAAGGTTGGACTTTTTTTTTTTTTTTTAATTTGTTTCTTTTGCCTTTATTTCTGTGAAGGTTGGACTTTTTTTACTAATGGTCTCACTGTCTTCATCTGTGCTATCAACACTTCAAATTATTTATCTTTTCCTGAAATACCTGCTAATTAAAGACAGTTTATTATTTCACACTAATTAATCTTCTTGGTTTATTATAATCTTAGTCTTTCAGTATTAAAAATATAAAATGGTAACACTGCAAAAAAAATAGAAGCCTTTCCATGTTATCCTTGTGAGGCATCAGTGCTATGTTTTTTCTTTCTTTTGGCACTAGGGATGGAACCCAGGGCTTCCTTTATTCGAGGCTGGGGCGCTGTATCACTGAGCTACACTCCAAGCCCCAACTTTATTTCTTGTTGTCTTTTCAACACTAGTCTTTTGTTAGACATTGCTATCTTCAGAAAGCTTCAGCTCTTAGGAAAATAACTTGCCATCTTGCCTTTTGAACTCTGGCTGGTAAGAGTTTCAAGGACCTTGAAACTACTAGCTGCTGAGGTCTGGGGTCATCATGACCAAGGGGAGCGTGAAAGCTCCACGGGAGGCCAGAGTGAGCAGTGGAAGGGGCGGGTTGGTCTCTTCTAGAGGCCTGGTGGCTCTCTGTTTCCTAAGTATGCTAAAATTTGGAACTCTCTTTTTTTTTTTTTTTTCCCCTTTTTTTGGGGCAGTGATGGGGATTGAACTCAGTGCCTCGTGCATACTAAACAAACACTGAGTTACATCTCTAGCCCCTGCTGAACTTTCTTAATGTTAAATATGTTGATATTAAATAAATTGTCCACAGTTGGTTTCCTTCCTGGCATTCCATTTTAAAATTACATACCTTTAATTCATTTTTAATTATAGTATATAATAATATGATATTTTAAAAACTTATTAGATTATGAAACATTTTTATGTAATAGGTTTCAGAGTTTATGTGGAAAGGTTGCAGAAATAATCTTATCAAATCATGCTCCCATAATTTACCTAAATTTTTTATGTAGTTATTTATGTTGCTGGATAGTTTTCAGTTAATACTTTAATGTACCTTATTTTAGATATTACTGTTTTTTTTTTCTGACTAATTATATCTCTAGGATAAATTTTGGGTTGTATTATTATCTTAAAGGATATGGATATTTTTATGGCTTTTGATGTATATTGTCATACTGTTTTCAAGGGTGTTATACCAATGTGTAGTCCTAGCAGACATGTAAGTATACCTATTTTACTATGATGGGTAGAAGTCCATTTTTTCCCCCCAAGTTTTTTTGCTAATAGTGTAAAATGGTACTTGTATTTAATCGATCCAGAATGTTGAATTTAACTAATTTGAGTCTTGTTTATTCATATCCTTTGCTATATTATGTGGTAAACTATTGGTATGGTCTTGGTGGGGTGGTAAGGTAGGTATAATCAGCGAACGGTTAGAGAATTATTAGAAAGATAACTATAGCATGGTCAGTAAAAGTGTTAATAAGAGTTTGGTCTCAATGGTAAGTGATCTTGGGAATGTAGTGGGAGGGAAGAGATGGATTATTCCAAGATTGACCTCAGCAAGTATTTGTTGGGTGTTCACTGACCTCCATATGCTGTGTTGTGACCTCTGAGTGCTTCTCAAGTTGTTGTCAAGGCATATGTTGGGCTGAAGGAGAGGACTATTTGATTCTTAACCAGTTAGGGGTACTGGCTTCTGTTRTCCCTTTGTGGCTGCTTGTAGGGCTGAGAAGACCACTGCTGTCTAGGACATCTTTAACTCATGGCATACTCTTTGAGAAACTCTGTTCTGAGGGATGCAAAGATAAATAAAACATAGGTTGATCTGATAAGGAACTAATCATCTGGTGGAGAGAATAAGGCCACCTCTCAAATGAAACAACTAATAGGAATTTGATATGTGCTAAAAGGGGTTCAGACAAGGCATTTAGGGATTAAGTGGGGGAGCAATATTGCCCCCTTGGGGATATTAGGGAACTCTTCAGCTGAAGAGGTTGCCTGTAAATTGCATGAAAAWGAGCAGCAGTAAAAAGAGGGTACTCTAGAGGGAAGTCTTGGGGAGGTGTGGCAAATGTGAGTGTCCGGAAACTGTATATCCAAATTACCTCCATCCTGGGATACATAAAGAACCCAAGTGGATGGTGAAACTGCCAGTGGGTTAGGGCTGGATGAGTGTCTTAAGTGTCAGACCAAGGATGAGTATGCTGGATCTGTAGGGAGCAGTTGAGGGACAGGGACTCTAGTTGGGTTCATAGTAGTAGGTGGGGTAAAGTAGGTGGGGAGTAGTCAGTTCTATATCTCAAGTCAGAGATGAGGTTGCAGTTGTGATGTCTGGGGAGCTAGGAAGAATGGGACATCAAATTGAGAAGTCAGGAGAAAGAACAGGCCTTAGGGATTTTAGACAGAGAGATAATGAATTTGAGTGTTGAGTTTTAAGGTGCACTAGCACAAAGTTGAAATCCGAATTCTTTCTTATAGGTTTTTGTTTTTGGAACTGGGGTACTTAACCACTGAGCCTCATCCCCAGCCCTTTTTATTTTTTGAGACAGGGCCTTAGGAGTTGCTGAGGCTGGCTTTGAACTTATGATCCTCCTGCTTCAGCCTCCTGAGTTGCTGAGAGTACAGGCCTGTGCCACTGCGCCTGGCTCAGAATTTTAATCCTAGAAAAAACTTGAGTGATTTGTTAGGCAATAGCTCCGAAAGTTGGRGCCCCTGGAGATAGGCTTCCCAATAACCAGTCCAGGTAGAAGTAATTTGATGACCCTAAATTTTGTGTATTTGCAAGCAGGGAGAGTTGAATGTTTTAATGGGGTGTGTTCTAGGCTTCTGGAAGGGGTTTACAATGAAGAGAAGTAGCATTAACTCCAGAATTCCTGTGCTGCCTTAGCTTTGTGTCTTTGGGTTAATTAAGTCTCCTGAGACTTAAGTCTTTTTGTTACTCATGACAATAAAACTTGTTGCTTGTTGGAAATTATAAAAAACAGATGAATAATTTAAAAAACTATAATCCTACCACCCAGAGATATCTACTTATTATTATTATTATTTTTGTAGTCCTGGGGATTGAACCCAGTGGCGCTCTAACACTGAACTACATCCTCAACCCTTATAATTTTATTTATTTATATTTTTTGGGATACCAGGGATTGAACCCAAAGACACTTGGCCACTGAGCCACATCTCCAACTCTTTTTTGTATTTTATTTAGAGACAAGGTCTCACTGAGTTGCTTAGCACCTCATTGTTGCTTAGGCTGGCTTTGAACTCACAATCCTCCTGCCTCAGCCTCCTGAGCCACTGGGATTGCAGGCGTGTGCCACCGTGCTCAGCTTCAACCCTTTCAACTTTTTAAAGAAAATTTTGATACAGGCTCTTACCAGGTTGCCCAGACTGGCCTTGAATTTGGGATTCTCCTGTCTCAGCCTCCTAAATTGCTGGGATTATAGGCACCACCAGATCAGCTTCTACTTTTATTTTTAATAATCTTTAAGTTTTGTAATAATTTAGATTTATGGAAAAAGCTATTAATATAGGTCAGTTTTCTTACACACTTGATCCTGTTCTCCCATTGTTGTTAACATTTTACATTTCCATGGYACATTTATGAAATCTGAGAAACCGCCATTGACACATTACTATTAACTAATTTTTCTACTTTCATTTGGGTTTAACTAGTTTTTCCACTAAATGTCCTTTGCTTCAGAATTATCCAGATCCCACATTGTTGTTATCATGTCTTGATCTCTGTGTTGTGACAATTTCTCCACATTTCTCTGGTGGTCATGGCAGTTGAGGAATACTGGTCAGGTATTTCCTAAAATGCCCCTACATTTAGACTTGTCTGATGTTTTCCTTATGATTAGACTGGAGTTATATACTTTTGGGAAAGAAATAATTTTTAAATATTTTCTTATTATTTCTGTTTTTTAATATAAATATTTAATACATAGTCATATATTTTACAAAAATGACATCACAAACTGGGCATGGTGGCACACACCTGTAATCCCACTGGTTTGGTAGGCTGAAACAGGTGGATTGCTAGTTCAAAGCCAGCCTTAGCAACAGCGAGGTGCTAAGCAACTCAGTGAGACCCTGTCTTTAAATAAAATACAAAATAGGGCTGGGGATATGGCTTCATGGTTGAGT